AGAAGAGACAGGCCTGGACCAGGGGTGGGAGGAGACTGCCTTGAGGAGCTGACATCTAAAGAACAAATAGGATTGGGGGTGAGGGGAAGCATTTCTGGAAGAAGGAACAGTATTGAGGAGGGAACATGATGTATTTATTAGATGAGCTAAAAGAAGGTCAGGGAACAGAACACAGAGAGAAGGACAGTGACATAAGATGAGGCTGGACCACATTACCTGGGACCCTGGCCCCATTAATGATTTGTTTTTCCTTAGAGAAACAGAAAGCCATTGAAAAATTTGGAGCCTTCATTGATGATCAAATCAGCATTCTGAAAAGATCACTCTGGCTGAAAAGAAAGGAAACAGGAAGACCAATTATAAGGTTTTTGAGTTAGTCCAGATGAGCTCTGACGGTGCCTTAGCCCTTGCTTATGACAGTGGACATGAAAAGAAGCAGATGGGTTCAAGAAATATGAAGGAGGTTAAATAAAATTGGATGATGGATTGAATATAGGGGATCAGGAGGGCAGGAGGTATCTAGGATTCCTGTGTTTCTAATTAGATGGGTGGTGGTGCCATTTACTGAACTAAGAAACACTGGAAGAGGTCAGGGATTAGCTCAATCTTAGACAACACATCTGAGTGAAACTGTCACATAGGCAATTAGGTATAAAAGTCTGGGACCAGAGGAAATGTCCAGATTGGAAACATAAATTTGGGAGTCACTGGATATAGTAATTAAAGCCATGGGCATAGGAGAAATGGCCCATGAAGGAAGTACAGCACCCAAATCATGTCTACTCCTTACATCCTTAAAGAAGCTAATATGTAATAGCCAGGTAGGAAAAGTGAGACAGAAAATAAAAACAGAAGCTGAGGGCAGGTGGAAACTAAGCCGCGTATATTATCCCAAAACCAAGACAAGCACGTTTCAAATAGGATGGAGTGGTCAGTAGTGCCAAATGCTGCTGAAGTGTCTCCTAAGAGGAGGCCTGGGAAACGCCCACTGGATTTAGCAACATGGCAGTCTTGGTGACATTAATTTGAATTGTTTCAATGGTATAATGGAGGCAGGAGTCAAATAGGAGATGGTTGAGCAATGACTGGGAAGTGAGGAAATGGAAACCCTGTGTAGACCACTCTCAGGAAGTGGGGGTTTTGATAGGAAACACCCTCAAACCTGTTCTTCTCAGTCTCTACTCGTGACCCTTCGTTGCCACTCAGTGAGCTGAATTGATTTTATAATTCAGTATTCAATGCCTCAGTTGCCAAGGTGATATCTTTCAGTAGCCATAGCAACCAGACAGGCAGGGGTGGAGTCTGCAGGGAAGGCCTCCTGGAAATTGGAGGCCCTTCCATCCTTTTGAGCCCCCTCTAACTTTGCAGATCTGGGAAAGCCCACTGCAGAATCGCTGCTGGAAATGAGTTTATGAAACTCAGAGAGTCCCTATCTTTTAGAGACACCCCACTGGAAAATGTAAGGACAAATGGGGTCTGAGATTTGCAAAGTGAAACAAGATAGGCCATGAGTTGATCATTGTCGAAGCTGGGCAGTGGGGACCTGGAGGTTTATTATATTGTTCTCGCTACTTTTGTTTATAGATACATTTTTCCACAATGTGTTGTGAAAAATTAAATTTAGGAACTCTGTAAAGTGAACGTTCAAAGAGCCAGTGACCCCCACGGGACCCACTGTGGACATGATGCTTAGAACAGGATCTCGCTTAACCCAATCCGCCACTGGCTATGGCTTTGAAGATGCCACACGTCTAAGGGAAGAATGTCTGCTCTCACATGCGGTCCTTTTCTTCTCAGTAATCCTAATCCTGATTTCTCGCCCCTCCACCCTTCTCACCTCCCTTCTGAGTGTGGACTCCAAATCGCAGTCCCAACACTGACCATCTTCATGACCTTGAACAAGTCCTCTCTGGTCCCTGAACCACTCACTCCCTGAAAGATGGGGACACACACCTGCTTAGCAGTGTTATGCAGATTGATTCTGACCCTGTGTGTGGAATATCTAACACAGTCCACAGCCTCCAAAGCCCACAGAAGGCAGGGAGGTAGTATAAATGAAGGAAACTAACCAGGTAGGAGAAAATCACGAGAAACCTCCCGGTCTTTATTTAGCTTTGCCACTTTTAGGAGATAAACAAGTGGGAAAATTCTAAGAAAAATAGCAACGCAAGCATGCTCACACAGGGAATGCATAATTCCTATTCATGAATAAGCAGGTAATAAGCTGAGACTTAGCCTCAGTGTTGGGGAGTATTGGGGAGCGGTGGAGATTACGGCAAACTGGAGCCTGCAGACCCCATACAAAACGTGCCATCCTCCCCAGCTCCAACTGACCGCTGCCTTCAGGGAATGGAGCCAGTGTTAACATGTCTTCTTGTTTTACAAGACAAGCTAGAACTCTTAACTTTTTTTATGTGAAATCTCCCAATTCTTAAATTTAGGTTCAATTATACTTTTTAGAAAAACACTGCGATGGCCAAACTAAGCCCATCTGCAGGCCAAAATCAGCTGACGAGCTGCCAGTGTGCAACCTCTCACCTAGATAATGAGATATAATACAGTTCCCCCCACCCCTCCCTTTTATCTTCTTCCTCTCACGTTCTTCTTTCTCTCTGGTTTTCCAGATCCTTCTCACCTAACCACCCCCACCCTTCATTTCTATGTCCAAGTGGTAGAAGGGATCAAAGTGGGTTGAAGAGCTGATTAAGCCCAAAGGGATGTGGTCTGGATGCCTGGTCCTGCCCCAGGGCCTAGATCAGTGCCTGGCACATAGCAGATCCGAATGAAAAACTTGCTGGATAAATAAGCCAGCAATGGGGTCAGGGGATGTCAGTTCAGTTTCTTGTGCGCACCCTGGGCTCACGTAAGAAACTGTCTCATTTTTCTCCACAGCCTTGCGAAGTCGTTCTGGCCGCTCCATCATCAACGGGAACTGGGCAATTGACCGGCCCGGAAAATACGAGGGCGGAGGGACAATGTTCACCTACAAGCGTCCCAATGAGATTTCAAGCACTGCTGGAGAGTCCTTTTTGGCTGAAGGTCCCACCAATGAGATCTTGGATGTCTATGTGAGTTTGGATGTTTCTGGGCTGTTCTCTGGATTTTGTATCTTGTTGCTTCGCAGGGCCACACTTAGAACAAATAAGCGACACATCATTGCTCGTGCTCAATAAAACCGTTTGAGCGGAGTCTTTTGAGGTGCCCTTAAATCTTGGTGTTCATCTTTACCAGTCACCCTAAATGTACCTGGCTCACAGAAACCTTAAACTCTACCAGATGCTTCTAACCCTCAGAGTTTATTGACCCAGTAAAACCAATTTTACTTGTTGAATCAAATCAGAGGCAAAACATATCCTTTATTTCATGAGCATTGGCTCTCCTCCAGGCACTTTCCTCCTAATGCTAATTTGGCATGTTTTCTTTTTATGGCAAAAGCAAGCAAATGCCTAAAGCAAGACAAGACCGCTCAGAGCTCACAGCCCTCTTCAAATTCTGTGAAAGCCCATGAAGAAAGGGGAGCCCCGCGTATTCCAGAGGACACAATAAGGCTCTGAGAGTCACTAGAAGTCCCCTGCTTCGCAGAAGACTACACTTGGATTGATTGTACAAGAAACTAATTATTAAGTTACCCAAGCGTTTACAAATGGTCCTTAATTTTTAAAAGAAATCACTAGAATCCAGTCTTCTTAAAAAGACAGGAAACAAAAGCTTGAAATGGGGTTTGTATGATGAAAAGAATGAGCTCACCCATAGGTCTGCAATCCCTCACCACCTCCAAGGCCATGCTGATGTGCAAGATGCGAGCTGTGTGTGTGTTTTATAAATATTACTTCTCCAATTATACAGTTACACTCTCATTTCTCTCGGGCCTAGTGGCTCGTGGACCAGAACTGTAAAGGAAGCCTTGTTATAGTTAATTTTGAATATTTTTTTACGCTGTCCAGTGGGTTGTTGGACTCTGAATAAGTTTCGAATGGCATCAGGAATTAAAAACCCGGCTTGTGAAAGGCCCATGGTGGGTGGTCTCGGATGTGGTGGCCAACAATAACTTCATATACGGGACAAGGTCTGCACTGGCAGAATGAATGCTCGCGCGGAAGAGGCGCGGAAGAGGGAGGGATGGTTTCCGGCCTCATACCGATGGTCGAATTGTGTGAAAGGAGAAGCGAGGGGATGAGGGGGAGACAGCGGGAACCTGAGGTCACCCCGCCGTGTCTCTTGGGGTTCTGTGCACACCACCATGGTTTCCTAGTGTAAGGATCCCAGGGGTTCTCATGTCTGCCTTCTGCCGGTGATTTATAAAATGGAGGCCCCATTTCACATGTTGGGAGGGGGTAAGAGACGATGGTATAAATGGACATAACAGACGTACTCAGGATCTAAACAGGACCCGCCCAGGCAGCAGTAACTCTGAGGCACTTGTAGCAAAAAGGACCTAAGAGATCAGCTGTCTTCTAACTTCCTTCTTCTCCAAATGAAGAAATCATAAACTGAGTGTAAGGGATGTGTTCTGGGCTACACAGCTGGCCGACAGGAGAGCCCCTCTACGAAGCACCAGAGACAGAAATATCAAAATGGAACAGTGCCTTCTTGCCTGGCTCATCTCTGCAGGGCCGAGTCCCATTCTGCTGCTGCATTTAGCCCTCTGCCCTCTCGTCCACCAGGAAAGCCATGGGCCTAAGCGCGTGTGCTCCTGAGCCAATAGGGAGGGACTCGTTCTGCCGGGCCATGCGGATTGATTTGGTGTTTTTGTTCCAGATAAGTTTCCTTGCTGACTTCCGCAGCCCAATGCAGCTTCCTGCTTGCTATCCTCCTTTTGTCATCAGTTCCTGAGAGAATAGGACCCAGAGAGAGAGTTACTTCCATTATACCTGTTTTCCTGACCCCATCTTTCTTGGGGTTCTGGAGCTTTCTATGGATGAGAAGGGGTGCGACCCAACAGTCAACTAGGAAGAGGGTTGGGGCGGGCCTTTCCTGTGGCAGCCACATCTGCCAGGTAGAAAGCTTGGGAGGAAAACGAAAGGACCCGGGCTGGCCCTGCCGGAGGTCTGGCCCTTCTGTGCTGGCTCTATCTCGCCACCTAGTGTTCAAATTGGTTCTCTGCAGTGTAAACATGTATCTATTTTGGACATTTTGAGAGCATAGTTTTCTTCTCAGTTCTTCATTTCTCAAAAGCAAATAAAAAGCCATCTGGAAATAGTCTTTGTTTAATCTGCCACAGGTCCACTAATATTATTACATGTGAATCAACCCACTCATTTATATAGTGCCACTCATACCACTGAACTCAAAGCCAGGAGGAAAGGGACGTGTGTGCATGCCAGTGCAGTGACATTGGCTTTTGTGTTGTCAGATGATACACCAGCAGCCCAACCCAGGAGTCCACTATGAATACGTCATCATGGGGACCAACGCCATCAGCCCACAGGTGCCATCTCACAGGAGACCAGGTAAAATCCATGTTTTGCTTCCAAGCACTCAGGTCATTTCCTTTTAGAGCTCTTGTCTGTCTTCTTCTTGCACAGTTACCCCCTGTCTCTTAGTCAACACAGAAGAAAACCAAGGACACATATCTCAGAGTCAGTGGCCAGATATCAGAAGATGCTTCACCATGTGTCTGAGCCTTTGCTGATAAGAGTGTTTCATTCACTTGATTCAAAAATGAAGTGAACATCTGGGTCTTTCTTTCCAGTTCATCATTTTGAAATGCCTTATATTCATTTCTATTGCTGCCATAACAAACTACCTTAAGCTGAGTGGCTTAAAATAACACAGATTTATTATTTTATAGTTCTAGAGGTCAGAAGTTCAAAACGGGTTTTGCTTATTGGTGGGTCATGCTCCCTGCAGAGGCTCTAGGACAGCGGTTCTCGACCTTCCTCATGCCGTGACCCCTTAATACAGCTCCTCATGTTGTGGTGACCCCCAACCATAAAATTATTTTCGTTGCTACTCTATAACTGTAATTTTGCTACTGTTATGAATCGTAATGTAAATATCCTTTTGTTTTCCGATGGTCTTAGGCGACCCCTGTGAAAGGGTCGTTCAACCCCCAAAGGGGTCGCGACCCACAGGTTGAGAACCGCTGCTCTAGGAGGAAATCTGTTTCCTTTCATCTTTTAAGAGGCTGCTTGCATTCCTTGGCTCGTGGCCGCTTCCTCCATATTCACAGCCAGCCGAGCAGCACCTGCGAATATCTCTGACTCTGACCCTCTTCTTCCGTCATCACATCTCTTTCTCTGACTCTCACCTTCTGCCTCTTTTCTATAAGGACCCTTCATTGGGCCCTCCCAGACAATCCAGGGTAATCTCTCCTTCTCAGAATCTTTAACTTAATCACATCTGGAAAGTTCCTTTTGCTATATAGGGTCACATATTCCAGATTCCAGTGATTAGGATACAGGCATCTTCGGAGGGCCATTATTCTCTCTGCCAGTGCCTTTTCTCGGGGTTCCCTTTTGAGTCTGTTTACACTACTTTGACCAGTAAGAACTGAATACGGATTTCACACCCAGCGATCTACCTCTCCCTGGGGGCACTGATGTTGGACAGAGCAGGCAGCTTTCACTGGGCTGCTGCTGGATACGTTCCAGCACTCAGCTCTGCAGATACTTGCTCACCAGGCAACGATGGAGCCCACCACCCAAACGGAGACTGTCTTTTGCATCTTTTAAACAGGAAGGTCTGCAGAAATAGTAATGGTGGTAGCCGCTCACAGGCACTGACTGAGTCCTTGCTGTGAGCCAGACACTGCTGAGCCCTTCACATAGATTAACTCATCGAATTCTCACCACAGTGCTCAGAGAGAGGGATGATTATCACCCTCATGTTAAGAGTAAGGAAATGGAAGCTTAAAGAGATTAGGTTACTTGCCCAGGTCCCACAGTGACCTCAGGCCAGCCTGAGCTTGCTATACTCCCTAAAGGCTACCTGGCCCAGCACCTGTCCTAGGAATGGAGGGAGCAGATGCCAGACCTGGCCCATCCATCCTTCTCTGGGCTGCCAGTCAGATACCCAGGTTATCTTACTGTCACATATCAGGGAGGAGCCACCTGGCTGCCTGGAGAAAACAGTCTGGTGTGTGCCCAGCACGGGGAGTACATGTGTTGCCCAAACTCCAAGTCTACACACCCAGCCCAACAAAATTTTTAAGCCATTTCCAGGAGCAATACATAGGCTGGGAACCAAGTTTAGATGGCAAACTATTGAGATTACTGATGGCCTGATGCCGATTTGGACAGACAATTTGAAATCGTATAGGATGATGATGATTGATGACAAGTCTACTGGGTCTCACCTAATAGGTAGCCTGGGGTTCTGAGATCGGCAGCCTGGGACAGGGCGGGCCCGGAAGGGGTCAGCTGTAAAAATGTGGTGAGAAAGAACATTCTGGACCAGGCTTCGCCCTCCGTATCTGCGGAGTCAGGAGGCCAGAGCCTGAATCTGACTGCCACCTCCTTGCTGTGCAGCCTCAGGCAAGTCAGTAACTTCTCTGAACACATTCCCAGTCTACAAAATAGAGGGGGAAAAGCTACACTCAAAGGTTTTGTTTTGTTCTGGTGCAGAGAGGAGGAGACTCAATAAATTATATGTCAAGCCTCGTGCCCAGTGCATACTAAGTACTCAAAAGATTTAGAAATGTTTTTGGCTAATAACCTCTTGGACAGCCTTATTTATATCAATATGCCTGGTCTTGGCTCTGTGGCTTAATTTGCATATAATATTTTAAAGCATGAAGTATTATAAGTAGCCAACCAGATAAGAAAGTACTGGTGAAGGGGGAGAGAAGCCCTAAGGTTTATCTGGATTCCACAGTAACTCTAGAATTTGCCTCCTTATTTTGTATGAAACTAATATGTGTTTGAACATTATTCAATCAAAATAAAAACACGTGAAGTAAAATGTGCCTGCTCCATGACTGCCAAAACTTGGAAGCAACCAAGATGTCTTTCAATAGGTGAATTTGGATAAATAAACTGTGGTCCACCAGGTGGCAGAATATTATTCAGCACTAAAAAGAAATGAGCTCTCAAGCCATGAAAAGACGTGGAAGGAACTCATATGTGTATTACTAAGTGAAAGAAGCCAATCTGAAAAGGCTGCACACTGTGTGATTCCAACTCAGTGACACTCTGGAGAAGACAAAACTATGGAGACAGGAAAGACCAGCGGTTGCCAGGGGAGGGAGGGATGAACAGATGGAGCACAGAGGACTTTTAAGTCATTTCCAGGGGCAGTGACACTCTTCTGTATGATACTATAACGGTTGACACATGTCGTGATACACGTGTCCAAACCCACAGAACGACAAGCCTGTAAACTCTAGACTTTGGGTGATAATGATGTGTCGATGGAGGTTCACTAATTGTAACAAATGTACCACCCTGGTGGTGGTGGGGGCAGGGGGGTTGTTCATAATGGGGGAGGCTGTGCATGCGTGGGGACAGGGGAGCTATGGGAACTCTGTACTTTCCACTTAATTTTTCTGTAAGCCTAAAACTGCTCTTAAAAAAAAAAAAGTCTACTAAAAAAAGGCGATCTGCCCCAACCTTTTCCCCCTCCCCCCTCCCCCCATCCCAGAGGGAATCTGTCTTAACAATTTGGTGGGATTCTGCCCCGCCCTTTTCTATACATAGACAAACGTGTTTGCAGCCCATTTGAATCTTTGTCTATAACCTAAATGGACAAGGAACATCACATGTCATTCTTTTCCATAAGTCAATGTAAATCTAAGTAACTTAAAACTTCTTTGAAACTGGTAGAAATTTGATCTCAGTCTGTATGGGGCTCCCCACACACACGTGCATATGAGTAAAAATTCCTTCCCAGCACCGGTGAGGGTCTGCAGTGGTCAGGAAAACTAAGACCTCACACTCCTGCCTCTCC